AGAGAGAGAGAGAGAGAGAGAGAGAGAGAGAGAGAGAGAGAGAGAGAGAGAGAGAGAGAGAGAGAGAGAAGCCCCAAAGTTCCAACGTGTCACAACCAAAATCTGAGCAGAAATTGACAGATGCAAAGACCTGAGCCCACGGCAAAGGCCCAATGGCCAGGCCGCAGCTGCCAAATCTGTGAAAGGGCCTGGAAAATACGCAGGGGTCTATTTTTGGGATTTTGAGATGTTGTGGGCCCTGCCCCCGTCTGAGTCAGCCGCACTGTGTGATCAGTTCCTTGGGAGGCCGAAAGTCTCTCAGGCCGCAATGTGGCCAGAGGCCTTTCGGCCAACGAGGTCGTAGCAACCAGCAAATGCCACGCCGGGCAGTTCAGCCCTGCAACTGAACGGGGCCCCTACCGTCTTCACCCTAAAATAACACCCAGGCCCTGGGCGTTATATTCAACTTACCCTAAAAAGATCAGCTTTTCGTTTTTAGTACTTTTTACTCGCTTTTTCCCAAATGAAAGGATTCACGTGGCAGACACCCCCTCCAGGTCCCAGTGTCCCGACAAGTCCCCAGTCCCAGGGCGGTCCGGTAGGGTAGGCCGTAGGGTCTAGGGGTCCGAAACGTCATAGGTCGGTAGGTGTCAATACCGAAGCGTCATAGGTCAGTAGGAGTCCGTCCGGTACCCGACAAGAAAAGTCCGGAAGAGTCCAGTCTGGTCAGACAGTCCCAAGTCCAATTTTGCAGCATGTCGCAGGAAAGTCCGGAAGATACCGGACCGACAGAATGTTTGCAGCAGACAGCCGCGGACGGCCGGTACCGGTCTGAAGAAGGCCAAGCCAATCCAAGCGAAACGAAGCCAAGACCTATATTTAGCTGCTACAGTGCAGCGGCTCATCACTTGTTCGGTTGCGAGATGCAGAAGCGCTGCTGCTAATGTGTTAAGGCAACTTGGACACTGTGCGCCTTAAGAAGAAGAGGGCGTTTGGGCGATACTCCATAGCTAGGCTAGAGGTAGAGCAAGAGGACGGCGGCCATAGCGGCCGCCGTGTAAGCTACCTGAGTGGGTGTATCCAGGGTGACGATCTAGGTTAGTGAGAGGGAGAGAGAGAGAGTGAGGCAAAGCGAGCCAAGTCCAAGAGAGAAGCAAGAGAAGAGAGAGAGAGAGAGAGAGAGAGAGAGAGAGAGAGAGAGAGAGAGAGAGAGAGAGAGGGAAGGGAGAGAACCCATAGCTGCCACCTGGTTGGGATCCGTTGGGTGTGTGTGTGTGCGGCAGAGCCGCTAGAGACAAACATTCTTGCATATTAATAATAATATTGGAGACGACATCTTCAAGTGTTGACTGTATCCCGGTTTGGCTTCTCACTCATGACTCTTGTGAATCTTCATTGATGTATGCGAGGTTAAGCTTGACGAGTACTTGGCTCATTTCAGTGGTATCAGAGCTGGTTCCTTCGGCGTCCGCTCAGAGTTGAAGCGCTGGCAAGGAAGCAGGCCGGCGGGCAAAATATATATATATATATATATATATATATATATATATATATATATATATATATATATATATATATATATATATATGAAACTCCGACGAAACAGTTTGTCACAGCCCCTCGTTTGTTGTCCTCTTCTCCCTCTCTGCCTACGGTTTACCGGACAGTTCTATTTGACGATATATATATATATATGACGATATATATATATATATATATATATACTTCACGTGCTCATGCTCTTAGTCAATAGTTCTGTGACAATATATATATACAGACCGAGGTTTGACTGGAAGTTGAGGGCTGAAGAAGAAGGGGCATAGCAAGGAGCAAGAGGAGCAGGTACCTGCGACCGAGGAGCGTCATCGAGGGAACGCTGAAGGAGTGAAGTGCTTCCTTGCCCTGGCCCTATTGTTTATGCAATTTGAATTTTGTTGTAAATGGTACCTTCCTACGTACTTTCCTGGTGACCTCTTTTGCAATTAGGTTTTCTATTGGCGTCATCGGATCGGACTTGGTCTCCTTGCTGCTTGCTTTTTTCGAGTCTGCAAGTCTGTGAATGCATGGTCTAGGTCTCGGGTAGCAACGCGGCAGCTGGATGTATCCTCGGACCTAGTAGGGAGCATGGGCAATGAGAGGCGGATGCTCGTAAAATAACCCGGCTATGCGCAATGACCAGTACTGACTGGACTGCAACCAAAGACTCTCTGGGACGCAATGAGGATTGTAGAGGGCAGTAGGGTTCCCCACCTGTAGAATGCACGGGCAAAGTAGGGGTGAGACGTAAGGTTCACCGGTTGAGGACACCAGGGAGATTCCCCAAGGAACGATACTAACTGGCTGGCTAGTCGCTGGTGGTAGTTATACCCAAAAACCGCTGCAATCAGTGAGGAACCAGTCTAAGTCTTGAGAGTGATCCCTCATATCGGTGGTCACGATGTCATGTTTGCGTCGTTAAATAATTTTTGAGGTCTGTGTTGGCTGACCTTAAACTGTCGGTTGCCCACCGGATGTTAGGAGAACTGTAGTAACAAAAGTAGGAAGGGAATTAGTTTGTTAGACCCTGATTTAGATTAAAATTAGTACAAGTGTTGAGGACTGTTAAGTGTTGAGGTGTAGGTCTAAGTGGTGAGGAGGCGGAGTCAACTTACCTGTGCCCACCCTCACGATGGATGACCACCCGATGTTTGGCTTCTTGGCCCTGTCCACGATATGGGGCCCCCTCCTCCGTTTCCTCTTTCCACTAGGATTCGCCCGAACGTTTGGCATGCATGTGGTGAGTCAATCTGGAGCATCCACATAGCCATACGCCGCTTAACAGCAGGCCGAGATCGATAGAAGGCTGGTGGAGAAGAAGAAGGAGAAGGAGGAGAAAACAAAGAAAAAGAGGAAGAAGAAAGAGC